ATACATTTGTTAGAGATTGGGAGCGCAACATTTTTTAGTTATATGGTCTTTTTTACACAGTTTTAAGTATGTGATAAATGTTCGCGATCCAGAGAAATATTTTAGTGGCTCGCAAGTTACACACACATATTTTTTGTTTTAAAGTGCCAATACCACCACAATTCCTCCAACAAGAAGGAGATGCATCAGGATAAAGTTTTGAGAGTCTAAATGGGGTTAGATAGCTGCGATGTAGAATTGTTAGGGAACTGTCCCAATGATTAGTGCATTTCGAAAGACTGATATTACAGGACCAAGCCACTTGCCAGTCCTCTTGAGTAAAAGATCTATTCAGATCTCTCTCCCATTTACCCACACACGTTAACACAGAGTTATCTGAATCATGTTGCAAAAATTTGTAGAACCATGATATTCCCTTCTTTCAGTTCCAATGGATTCGTCAGAGCTTGCCATATCTTTGAATCCACCTCCACCCATGCCTTGGGAGTGGCACCAAGATAAGCCCGGATCTGAAGATATGGATAAAGGCTTCCTCTGGACTGCAGAGCAGTGATATCTGAAATAGTAAAAAACCTGCATCTTGCATAGGCTTCGTATTAAGATTAGGGATGATATGGTCATAGGTTGCCAATGGTAAGACCCGCCTCATTTTAGGGAAAGCTAAAGCAGATTTAGATAGACCCAGTAGCCAGGCATCCAAAGTTGCCGAGATCGAAGGAAGATAGGTACGAATTAACTTCGGAGCGATAACTTTTGCAAATAATAATGCCTGGAGGTCCTGAGCCGGGACTGTACTCCTCTCTATTTGTACCCATAACTTATCTGAGGGCAGAAACCAAACAAAGCTGGAGTTGATCCAATAATGCCACATAGTAATAGGTGGATATTACAGGGAGACCTACCCCCCCCCCCCCTTAGATTTCTATTTAATGAGAGCATAAAACGGAATTCTAGCTTTCCTCCCATTCCAAATATATTTTTTTCAACGCAACATCTACTTTACGAAAGTATGACTGGGGAATGATGATCAGAATTGTTCTGAAAAAGTATAAAAGTTTAGGCAGGATCAGCATCTTAAAGGCCGCTAACCTACCCAACCAGGAGAGCTCTGTTTTCCCAATGGCCTCCAACTCCCTTAAAAGTGCCTGAAGCAGTGTCTCGTAATTATCCCTAAACATATTAGAAGAGGGAAAGGATACACGAATACCCAAGTAGTCCAGACTTTTAGAGGACCAACTATACGGGAACCTATCCTGCAGGCTTTGTAAAACTTTCCTTGAAATACCGATAGGAAGCGTACAAGATTTGGTAATATTGAGTTTATAGTACACGTATCCAAGGTGGAGGAAATTGCTGTCAGGAAAGTCAAGGGGTCCCTCACAGTGAGAATAACATCATCCGCAAATAGACTGATCTTGTGAGCCATATGTGCAGTCTGTATACCGGAGATCAAGGGGTTCAATCTAATAGCTGTCACCAAGGGTTCCATCGCTAAAGAGAAAATGATAGGGGAGAGAGGACATCCCTGTCTAGTCCCGTTGGTAATTGAAAACGTATCTGACATAGCATTGGAAGTAAAACTTGCGCAGAGGGGACAGTATATAATGCCGTAATAGCTGATTTAATGTACCCCTGCATACCAAAATTGCCAAGAGTAAAGTCAAGATATCGCCATTGAACTCTTATCAAAAGCCTTCTCAGCATCCAGGGCCAAAAATACAGTTTGCGACTTATGGAGTTCGGCAATTCGCAACAAATTAAACACTCTTGAAATTCCTTATAATATTCTGCAGTGAACCCGTCCGCCCCAAGCGATTTCCCCTTTGGCAACGCTTTAATGCAGTTCTCACTTCACTATCTGATATAGGTTGGTTCAGAATCTCCAATTTAGACTGATCCAGTTTAGGTAAAGGGAGACTCTCAAAAAAGCTCTCAATAAGAGCAGGGGTAGGTTGATGCGTGTTTGGGTCATCTTTGAGGTTGTACAATTGAGCATAGTAGGCTCGAAATGCCTCAGCAATTTTGTTATGGATTTTGTTAAGGATGGAAAACTTTTTTCAGCAAAATGGGATCTATCATAGAAGGGATTTTGGCTTTTGCCTGTTTAGTATTGATGAAAGAGGCCAAAAGCTTACCGGCCTTATTACCCTGGGTGTAGTAATTAGCCTTGGCCCTTCAAAGATATTTTTCATGGTGGAGTAAGATAAGTTTCTTAAGGGCTAATCTATGAATCTGTAACTCTTGTAGCACTGTAGCTGACAGATTCTGCTTATGTTGGGATTCCAAACTAGCGATTTTAGCTAAAATGTCCGACAGAGCACCTTGTCTGTGCTTCTTCTCCCTGGAAGCCAACTGGAGCATCACACCTCAGCATACGGCCTTATGTGCACACGACACGTTAAATACATCCATGTCTGAAGTGGCATTCACAGTGAAATACTCCTGTAACAATTTAGAGATAAGAGCATGGCTACTAGAACTGAGGAACATAGAAGAGTCATTGCGCCACAGGAATACCGGTGAAAACTTTAAATTCTCTTTTATACTTAGGGATATGGGCGCGTGATCTGACCAGGTCATAGAATGAATGGTCGCTTTAATTATATTTTGAAGAAGTTGTAAATCGGTCAAGAAATAATCTATTCTCGAATAGGATTTATGAGGTGACGAGTGATATGTAAAGTCTTTCTCTGAATCATTCTTTCTCTGAAGTGCCCTGATGATCAGTGTGCATGTCCCCTCCGCAGAAAGCCGATTACCGGCTCTCCTCTCCTCTCGAGCTGTCAGCGTGACAGCTCGAGAGGAGAGAAATGCCGATAACCGGCATTTCCCTGTTTACATGTGATCAGCTGTGATTGGACACAGCTGATCACATGACTGAGCCGACATCTTCGGCTCTTTCCATGATCGGTGATCCGCTGTGTCCCTCGGCCAATCACCGCGCTGTGCGCTCCCTGAGCCTCGCATGCGCAGTGAGAATGGGAGGACGTCATATGACATAATCCCAGAACGAGAGAACCACCTTGCGCCCGTAATATTACTATATGGCGGGCGGGAGGTGGTTAAAGTGATCTACCACTTTGCCAGTCAAGTGGGGGTGGGGGGACACACACTATTGCTGACAATTGCCATTGATCTGCCAGAAGCTGTGTTTAGGTCCAAAGAAGCAACACAAACTAGGTGCCACTTAATAACATTGTAAAAGGAAGGCTTTTGATTTATGCTACTGACATTTTGCATAATCTAATTTTTAGAGTCAGATTATTGTCATTATTTATCCTTGCAACTTCTCTATTAACCTGTTCCTGTCGGTCATACAAATATATGCACCCTCTCGTAGGGCACAGCACAGTTACCAAAGGGTACTGTTACAAGTTAGCCTGCAGTTTCTTGTTTGTGTTCGTACCTCCTTGCTGCAGTGCTGTTCCTGATCCCTTCACATGTGTGTTTGTCTGTGCTCATCTATGGGCGTCTTCTGTTCTCTGGGTTTTATTTCCTTCCCTTCCCTTCCATCACTTCCTGGCCCGCCTCCTTGTTTGCCTGCCTATATAAGACATGCTCAGTCTAGGCCACTTTACCTGAGCAACTTCCTAGTTGTTGGAGCTTCTGTGTGTTGCTATTGCCTGTATCCTGCATTGACTACTTGTGTACCGATCCTGGCTTCATTCTTTGACTGTGCTTGTTTTCTGCCTGTCCTGACCTCGGCTAGTCTATCGGATTTCCGTTTGTCTCCTCCCATTTACTTTGCTCCCGCGAGCGGTCTCCTCATCCTCAGCTGGGCTTACCTGGCGGCTGCTACCTGGTCCCAGCTTGCTGCAAGTCCATCCCCACCATCAGGGGCTCTGGTGAAGAAGCAGGCTGGGGCTTAGACTCCGTGCCCTGGGGAACCCCAAGTTAAGTATCTACAAGGGCTCACTACCACAGGTGCTGACAGGTACGGGAAAGTTCCCAATGCCTGTACAGAGCCATGGCAGTGCTTATGGCGTGCCCAGTCTCTTTTGGCTTTTATTAGAATAAGTATTATTGTATAAACTTCATTTGGGTGCAGTGTTCAATGACTGTGATGTTGTCAAAGTAGTGCAGTGCCGAATAGAAAAAAAATGACCTGGTCATGAAAGTGGTAAAACCTTCCAGAGGGACAAGTGATTATTGCAAGGTATGCTTATTTGTTATTTGCACCATCTCCAGTCCATGTGCTAAACTGTAGTGAATCATTCTCATTCAACTGCCATAGCTAAAGACTTGCTTATTTAGTATATCATGAATGCTGCTGCCAGAGTCCTCTACCTTACCAACTGCTCAGTGTCTGCCACCCCTCTCTGCCAATATCTCCACTGGCTTCTAATTGCCCAGCTAAATTAATTCAAAATACTAACAACAACATACAAAGCCATCCAAACTAAACCCTGCGCTACATCACCAATCTTCTTTCAAAATATCACCCAAACTGTCCTCTCCACTCTCCCAAGACCTCCTGATCATTTAGCTCTCTTATCCCTTCCTGCCATACTTATCCCCAGGATTTTCCAGAGCTTCCCCTGAGCTTCCTCTGGAGCTCTCTACCTCAATCTGCCTGGCTATCGCCTACTCTGGCCACCTTTAGGCGATCCCTGAAAACTCATCTCTTTAGAGAAGCCTATTCCACCTCCACCTAACAACTGGACTTTTAATTCTTCAATCAGCTCATCCCTCACAGTTATTACCTTTTTAACCACTTGCCCCACCTTATTAGATTGTAAGCTCTTAGGAGCAGGGCCTTCTAAACCCTCTTCTATTTTATTGTATTGTAACTATACTGTCTCTCTTTATATCGTAATGTGCTGTGCAATATGGTGCAATAATAAAGATGAGTTCAGTGGATGCCTGAGATCATCTCTAAGCTTTAGCACTTAGAATAACATTAGTTGCTGTTAATGCATCACATTTACACTATTATGTTGAATGCATCTTTTATTTATGCATTTTCCTGTTTGTAATTTGTTTTGTTATGTTTTAAATAGATTATCCATTGGATTCACAAGAAGAGAAATCAAAGAAGCAGTTTTGTCTTCCGAATGAAGAGCAAACATTTGTTTCAAAAAGAAGTAAGATCTTGAAAACATACCATGAAGTGAGGGCTCTAGAGGAGAAAATCAGAAAGAACATGACTCATATGGTGAATTCTGAGGCTTTAGAGCAATATATAAAAGAAGTTCAGGTAATTTAAGCTCAAATATAGATACATAATGTATACAATATCCTTTCTCAACCAGGTTATCCCAAAAATTGCTAAAGCAGATGCATAGCTATAATTTTACCAACCCATACAGCTGCTACTGGGCCTTGGGGTAGGAGACTGCTGAGACCAATTAAACATAGACAATTTGTTTGCATGTAATGTTCACACTAACCCAGTACAGTGTTATGAAGGGTTGAAGATGACCCAGAACCCCTGTAAATTCTTCAGTCTAGAAGAGCTGACATCAGTTGGAGTTATCTGGATCCTTTCTTAATCTGGGCAGTGTGGAGCATTTCTTTAGCGGTCTTATCAGTGTAGATATAATGCCCTCATACCTTTTGTCATAGCCCAACCACTCTGAAATAAATCCTGTATTATTAATTTTTTGGGCAGCACAGTGGCTAAATGGTTGGCACTTCTGCCTGGCAGTACTAAGGTCGTTGGTTCAAATCCCAGCCACGGCACCACCTGCCTGGAGTTTGCATGTTCTCCCTGTGCCTGCGTGGGTTTTTTCCGGATACTCCGGTTTCCTCCCTCACTCCAAAGACATGCTGGTAGGTTAATTGGATCCTGTCTAAATTGGCCCTAATATGTGTGTATGTATGAATGTAAGTTAGGGACCTTAGATTGTACACCCCTTGAGGGTTAGGGACTGATGTGAATGTACAATATATATGTGTAAAGCGCTGCATAAATTGACGGCGCGTTATATAAGTACCTGAAATAAATAAATAAATACATTTTTGTTATTACAGGTATTTACATAGTGCCACAGTACATTGCATATCTTGGATTCACATCAGTCCCAGGCCTTAAAGAGCATACAATCCAAGAGATGGTCACTAAGCTCTTAAAACTTTAGAATGTGTGTGCCAGAATTTTTGGGAATGTTTGCAACCTTTTAAATAAAGCATCCTCAATGACTTCTGGGCTGTCTCAACTATGCTCACATCTACCCCCAGCGGCATTTAGACCTGTGGCAAGATTACCAATATGAGCTGCTTTCAGTTTTTTGATATGTTCAGTGGATTGAGGACCTAGCCACCTGATAAGCAGATCTAGTTCTTCTGTAGTTGTGACATCTTGATCACTGATTGTGGATTTCATGCCTCTGTATGTCTCATCAAACTTAGTGAGGCTGCTCCTGGTGGGCTCTTTGTGGAGCATGTATTTAGCAAACATTGACATGTCTGCATTTTCAGACTTTGGATGCACAGTTGCATGTGGAATAAAGTTAGTTGCATTGACTGGTGTGCTGAGATTGAACAACTTTGGTATTTTAGTGCAAAGGCACTCATACATGACACTGGCTCAGAGTCGATTGCTGCGTTGGGTTGCAGCTGTGGAGCAGTGTACTTGGTAGGAGGTAATTGACTAGCCTCATGGTAAAATGTGTTGTCTATTATCTGCATAGCGGTGTCTACAGTTTGCTGAAGTGCAAAAGCGTGGTGTACTGAGAGATGAGCAGGTAGATTGTCTTGAGAGGTGATGAGCATGATGTACTGACCTTGGCTGAGGGAACTAGCTGCTGTGGCTGGGAACTGAAGTTTTGGGAGAGAGTGTGAGGAATATGATGCATACAACGTGATTGAGTGTCTGCTGCTGTTATGTCCTTCCCTTTCACTAGCAGCTTGCTCTTATAAGTGGAAATCAGAATAGCATGTAGTAATGCAGGCAGCTTCCAATGTATACATGTATAATGAACAACTTGTATAATAGTTCCATTAGGCTAACACTGTAGTATTGGTAATGTACACCTATCAGGTTTATATTGTAGTCTGTGCCTTTAATAGGGAGATTCACCTTCCCTATTTGCCCTCTTTACCATTATCATTGAAAGTGTTCCCAGAAACATAATAGAGGGGACATTTTCCAAAAGGGGCACTAGTACTGGTGGCCTGGGGGTCCCAGGGTATTCTCTTAATTTGTGGGGATTATCTCTCACTTCCTGTTTTGGCTATGGAGCAGGAATTGAGGTAAATCTCACCAATCGGACACAGATGGCAAAAACTAAACTGACAAGGGTTATAACCCTCCCTTACACTATCCAAAATGAAAGAAAATGTTTTACTTATAGTTTTGTTTTAAGCTGCTGTATATTCAGTGTCCATAGCTCATCTCACAGTACGGTGTCCTTTTATCACGAAGCGGTAAATGACCGCTGCTCAGTCCTCCAGCATTCTCGGAAAACACAGTTCTCCTGTAAATGACTTTTTATGAAGTGGTGTAGATCAGTTCTCCGAATGAAGGGAGAACGATCTACAAACACTGGAAAACGGCTGCTTTTACTAAATCTCGCGAGATTACAGTAAGAGATCGGTCAAACACTGTTTACTAAGCAGCGGTAAATTATCGCTGCTTCGTTTGCGGTTCCTCATTCTCCAGCTCGAGCTGGGGAATCTGGAGGGAGAACACAGATCGCCAGTGAAGGGCTGACATTGCTCCTTCATATACTGGCCATCTGTGTGCTGAGATGATCAGCAGAGAACATGTTCTCTGCTGATTATCTCAGTTTCCTAAACCACTAATGATAGGAGATCAGCAATGATCCTCAGGATCGCCGCTGATCTCTGTTTCATAAAAGAACACCTATATTCCAGAGCTATAGATGATTTTTTTTTGAGTGTGGAGCTAAATTATTTGACTGGAGCGAGATAATTTTTTTGACTGGAGCTAAAATGTTTTTTGACTGACTGTTCTGTTTCCCCAATCTAAGCATTGCAAATGTGATTTCTATACCTGATCCAGTTGTGGTGAGATAGTAGCTATAACTTACAATCTCAGTAGCATTTTTAGACAGTGACTTGATCCAAATGACATCTTGCAGATCGTAGAAAGCTTTAATTGAAAACTTGTGCAGACAGATGAACATCAAATAGATAAAAAAAAAATCATAGTATGTCTACAGTATCTCCAGTAATTACAAATGCTCAGGACAAAAATTAGGACCGCGATGAATAGAGAGCATCTCCTAGCTACAGAGTAAGGAGAGACAAAATTATTTAAAGGTAAACAAACAATAATGCATGATAGACACACCATCAAGAGGCAGGGCACATCTGCCATGTTTTTTGGCAGTGGGCATAGTATACAGCCAGAGTACATGGATGAGGTAGTGAAGTGGATAACCAAGCCCTCGTTATCCTCATTCTCATTATTCCAGGCGCAGAGTAGCATAATGTCATCTGCAGCTGCAAATACACCCTGTACTTACTCCTCATCCACAGTTACACCTAAAACTGGCATGGAGGAGTTTACTCCGTTATTTAAGCACAGCTTCAGACACTTGCTGCAAGAGGACGTACTGCAATTAATTTCATCTGAGGTAAAGGAGGAAAGCATAGGAGCATAGTAAATGAAGGAACTGGACAAGATGGCATACACCCACGTATCCTAAAAGAATTGAGCTCTGTCATTTCAAAACCATTGTTTCTAATTTTAGTGACTCTTTAATGACTGGTGTGGTAACTCTGAATTGGAGTAAGGCCAATGTAGTGCCTAAATTTAAAAAAGGATCAAAGAAACTACAGACATGATAGTTTAACTTCTATTGTTGGGAAGATACTGGAGAGTATAATAAAAAGAGCTTGAGTTATTTTGAAGGGACAGCAAATTTACACTGTTATACAAGCTGTACACTCACTACTTTACATTGTAGCAAAGTGTCATTTCTTCAGTGTTGTCACATGAAAAGATATAATAAAATATTTACAAAAATGTGAGGGGTGAACTCTCTTCTGTGAGATACTGTACATATTTGTGGGCTTTATAAATACCGAACACCAAATGTTTTTGCATCTGTTTCTCAGTTGTAAAAATTGTTCAGTTATTTCTGTGGGTCCATTCCTATGTAGCTTCTTAATGTTTGCATTGCATTCTGGTGCTTCTGCACACAAAAATAATCTACATATTGTAATGTTTCTGCATGATGCTCCCCCATTATTTGGATTTGATGTTGTTTGTCTCCTTCTTTTGGGTCTATATTAGACAATTGCCTTATTCAAGAATATTTGTGGATATGCGCTGTGATATGGGCTAACATTGATTCCCTGATTATGTATAATCTGTTAATTCAAATTTTTAAGATATAGAGATCAATAAGAAAACTTTCAGATACAAATGTAAAAAATAGCTTTTTTACAGTTGAAGGAGCCATATGGCTTACACTTGAGAGTTCCCAAAGATCTTAGCCATGTTATAGCCAGATTATTTTTAACTTTAAGGATAGTTTACTGACAAGAATGGTCCCAGCAGATTGGTGAAAAGCAAATGTGGTTCCAATATTCACAAAAGGGCTGAGATAATACCAGGAAACTACAGATGTGTCAGCCCAACATCAATAGTCTGTAAGCTATTAAGCTTGGTAAGCTATGGAAGGAATGATAAAAGATCATATTCAAGAATCTGCTGATGGAAATAGCATCATTAGTGGTAACCAACATGGATTTCTGAAGAACCATTATTGCCAGACTAATATTTAACCTTCTACAAGGAAGTAAGCTGTTATGTGCTTGTAGTGTATCAAGATTTCGCTAAGGCATTTGATACAGTACCTCACAAACGATTAGTTTACAAATTAAGGTTTTTTGGCATTGATGACATTGTATATACCTGAATAGAAAACTGCTTGCAGGCGCATGTTCACAGGATGGTGGTTAATGGCATATTGTCTGAATGGTCTGGAGTTGTGAGCGGAGTGCACCAGGGCTCTGTCTTGGGACTAATTCTGTTTAACTTGTTCTTAAACGATTTAAAGATCAGAATAAATAGTTCAATCTCAGTGCTTGCTGATGCAAAACTAAGCAGGGCAATAACTAGGATATAGCAACTTTACAAGAAGGCTTTGTTCAAAAAAGGGGCAATCAGCTATATGGCAGAAAAGGTTTAATATTGAAAAC